ATTAGTTATCTTCCTCACCTGTCTGTCCCTCGTTTTCTCACCCTACTAAAGTTCCCCTTTCAGCTCAGTTAGCTGCCGGTTATTAGTTGTGTTTGCTGCTTGTGTTACCCTGTGTTTTGTATGAATCTTCATCATCTTGGATTACTTTTAAATGTTATTTGGATTACCTTGGTCTTCATGCGCCTCCCTTCACAAGAGCGTGACAGAATAACCGGCCAAACAAAAAGTTAAGTTTTTGTTTTTTTTTGTTTTGTTTTTGAAAGTCTTTTATTTTTTTGTTATGGATCACCCCAACTTCCTCCTCCTGCTGGAGCAGGAGGAACTTTTCCTCGAGGACCATAGCGGACTATTCATTGACATTTCCCACAGAACCAGCTACCCGGACGACGCGCTCTGCTCGTTCTACATTGCGAGCCTCAACACCACGTGCAGAGCGCAGTTGTCCGGGGGAGGTCCTCAAGAGAGCTTCGCCGCGTTTGTGGAGTGGGTGCTGGTGAGCAACGGATCCCCGTTCACCGTTGGCCACATTGATGTGGAACTCACCAGCCCCACTCCGGACCCAGAGCCCAGCCAACCATCACCCTGCTGTGCAGAGCGTTTGCTAGAGCCCACCACAGACGGAGAGCCAAAGCCCGCCACGACTGACGAGCCATCGCCAGAGAAGGCGACAGAGCTGAGGATCGCCCCGGAGCCAGAGCCTCACCGATCGTCTGACCAGGTGGAGAGCCGTCAACAACGCACGTGACGGTGGATGTAACAGTGGAGAGTGAGGGCACGGAGGAAAGCCCCGCCCACTGTACCACCGCTGAGGGTGAACTGAGGCAGGACTCAGGGTATTTAATTGACTTTTATTCTGAACTACCCAGTCTTCCGTCATCATCTGAAATCTCTGTCTGTCCTGTTACGGCCAAGCAGGCTGTTTTCGAACTGTCTATCTGCCCTGAACTATCTGTCTGTCCTGTCTCGACCATGGAGGTCGTTCCCCGAACTACCCAGTCTTCTGTCATCGTCTGAAATCTCTGTCTGTCCTGTTACGGCCAAGGAGGCTGTTTTCGTACTGTCTGTCTGCCCTGAACAGTCTGTCTGCCCCTTCACGACTATGGAGGTCGTGCCCAAATGGTCTGTCTGCCCTGAACTATCTGTCTGTCCTGTCTCCACCATGGAGGTCGTTCCCCTATCTCTGGCGCTCCCAGAGCTGGGAGTGGCCATCTGGTGTGTGTGTGGCCTGCACACACCATCCCTGAACCCCCAGACTGCTCAAAACTCACCCCCAGTCTCCCTCTCCCACCACCTCTTCATCAGTCCTCACCACTGCCTCCGCTGTCCCCTGTCAGCCCCTCAGCTCACCCTCAGCCCACCATCGGTGATATGGTTTTGCCGCGGGTCTGCCAGTCTCCATCAACGTCATGGCTGGAGGATCCCTTGTCTTCGCCTCTAGCCTCCAAGGCCCGGACTCTGCCTTGGCCTGTCGACCTAGCGGCTCCACCATGGCTCCTAGCTCCCTTCTCTCCGCCGTGGCCCATCAGTCCACCAGCTCCGCCGGGCTCCCTCGTCCCTCCGGCTCCGCCTTTGTCAGTCGTTGACCCGCC